GGGGGGGGGGGGGACAGGCGCAGGTTCCTCTTTGCTGCTTCGATTCTGTAACAAGCATGTGAGATTTCTACAAACACAATAAAGCAATCGCTGAGAACAAAATACACTGTAAGAACACACAAATGCATGATCACCCATACACTGCTCAGTCAGGGCTGGCAGCTCATTGCACCCAGAGGGAAAGGGTCTCAGGAGCTCATTTGAAATGCAAGGAGACAGGCCCTACCGACCCCTCCAGTGCCTGGGCCAGGCAGGGTCCTATGGGGCCAGCCGCTCCAATCCTAACTGGCCCAGTTTCCTCACCCCAAGGCCAGCTGTCTCCAGTCTGCCTGCCGACCTTGGCACCAATTTCTAGATGCTTGACAGAACACTGACCAACAAGGTGCAATGAACAAATGGGCCCAAATGTTCATCCTAACCGTGGTCTAAGTCCTTAGGAAATCAGCGAGACACCTCCGGACTGCCACGCTCTGGTGACCTCAAACCCAAAACCCTTTTTGAGACTCATCGAAGGACATTCTGCCACAGAGCCTTGGACATGGAAGGTGTACACCGCCAGCAGGGGCCAACTCCAAAAACTACCAAAAAACTGTTAAAGAATTAATGCCTACAAGGGAAGAGGAGGTTGTGGGAAAGCACGCATTACAGTGGAGATCTACTGCAAAGCTCACTTTAACTAAATGAGCTGTGTGAAGGCCTGCAGCCCAGGAAAAGGCGCTGGGGCCAGCAGCACGCTGGGAAGAGCAGAGGTGGTGACCGAAATTCTCACTCTTGCCACCAGGAGTGTGGGGTGAGCAAGAAGCCAGCCACCAAGCCAAGGGAGGGGAGGCCCAGCTAAGAGCCCACTGGAAGGTGCCAAGGCCCCATCCTCCTCTACATTACAGTGAGGAAAGCTACAGGAAAGACTGGCAGCTTGCAGCCTCCTGAGCGCTGCCCAAGGAAGGCCTCCCCTGTTGTGGCTTTTTTAACCTTTTACCAATGCCAGGCAGGGACCAGGCAAACACTCTGTCCTGAGATGTAGTAACTCATTTAATACTCACAGCCATGCTATAACGGAGATATTATCCTCATCCTCACTTTACAGATGACAGAAAGGACGTTACTCTCTGGGACTGCTTTGGTACATACTTAGTATTTTTCGGAATTAGTTGTTAACATTGCAGAATCAGGAGTTTTAGAGAGAAGTACAAGCTTCTTCTGACTGCTCTTTTAGAAGTCAGCTCTCACCACATGGCAACCTGAGCTTCCACACATGGCAGGAAGGCCCTGGCACGGGCCATAACCACTCACCGGGGCAAAGCTATGCCAAACCCATGGTTTTCAAACTTTATTTTGCCACAGAACCCCAACCCAGTACGGCAAGCCACGTCAGTCAAAGAGGGGCCAGGCGGGCTCTGCAGCCTCCCAGCCCTCTGGCCCACGCCCCTCCTGGCAGTCCTGGGGACACCACGAGATGCCTCTGGACACATTTTTCCTCTGTATGAGGAAATCCATTCACAAAACACGGTCAAAGGCTCACCAGCAATCCACGTAGCCGGAACTTGCCCTCCTCGTCCGTCACGGTGTCCTCTCCGTAAATGCTACAGTCCTTCTGTCCCATGGCTTCGACCGCCACACCCTGCTCCGGTTCCCCATTCAGAGAAGACACAGTGCCATAGCAACTGGTGTGACAAGAGAAGAAATGGAACAGGGTACTCTCGGGGTTTTCCCAGGCACACAAAGGACTGAAGACAGTGTCCTGTGTCCCCAGTTACAGCATGAACCTGCTCCTGCTGGGTGAGATCACACAGCTGTGCCTAGGCCACGTGCAAACCCAGCCTTCTTGCCTGCAGGACAAGCTGTTTCCAGTTTCTTTTCTCATACATTTTGAGGGATTCTCCAGAAAATTTTGATTTAAAAGGCTAAACTTTATATTCTTGCTGATCTTTAAAATGAAGCACTCATTAGCATGACAATAACTCAAGAGGACTTTTCACTTCATGAAAATGGTCCATTATCGTAACCCAAACTTTCTGATGACTCTCCATCTACAGTGCTTTTGTATGTATGCACACACGCACACAGACATGTGTGTGTACAGATACAGAGGCCTGCAGGTACCTACATGCCCATCTGTGCATGGCTAATATGTATCTATCTGCAGCATTATTTGCATTCCCTGACTCCAGCAGTATCCAGAAAAACTGGCAACACTGGAGGCCTCCCAAGGGAGTATCGATAGCTGGGAGGCAACACCCGTAGGAAACTTTACGCTGTGTACTCTTTTCAGCATTCTGAAGTTGTGTCCACGTGAATGTATTTCTCCCTTTCACAATTTAATCAAGCTTAACGTTTTTTTAAAAAGTGAAATTGCTAAGCAACTTAACAGGCTTGCTCTGGCCAGGATCAGAATAGGAAACTGGTGACTGAGCACCAGGCTAAGATAGTAACAGGCAAAATTCTGACCTCACGCTCACGACTCCCCTCCTCCCACATCCCATCGGTGAAGCCTAAGGCGCATTTCTAAAGAAGAGAGCCAGAGTGTGAGTCCACCAGCCCAGAGAGAAGCAGAGAGGAAGGGCCCACCTGTAGGCTGTCCGGTACCCAGTGATGGTGATCCTCAGGTTCTGTCCCTCTTGCACCTCGATCATCTGAGAGGATGGCTCAAACCGGAACTCCTTCATCATGGGCTTGAAGTAGTACTGGCCAGGGCTCTGCAGGACAAGCACACACAAGCCAGAGGCGGCCATGTTAGGGCAGCCATGTTAGGGCAGATGAAAGGCAGGATGGATCCAGTCACGATCCCAGAGCTCAGGGCCTTGTGGACAGACAGAAATGGTAAACCCATCTCTACCACCAATGGTTACAGAAGCATGAAGCATCCTGGCAAGCACAGTACAACTCTAGCAATGGCAGCTCACACTACTGTGTGCCTGCAATAAATCTGTGAGGCAGAGTCACATCAGAATGCTATTAACGAGCAAACTGGCTTGACACAGCTCGCTCGGCAAGTAAGCAGCGAGGGATGACCTGAAGTTGGGTGTACATCGTTGTAAAGACAACCTCCCCGTTCCCATGACTAACACGATGGCCAACGAAGGCCCACTGCCTCGATCCCCGCCAGAGGACGATATCCTCAACGCACAACGCATGCCATCCTCCCACCCACCACGCAAACCACTCTTTGCAGAAGAAACACAAGCTAACCGCACCAAGGGACTCCGCATTACAAACAACAGTTACACAAAGGGATGCTGTGACCAGGGCAATTAATGACACTGCCATGGTGACGAGTGGGTAACCACAACACAGGAATGTGGAAAGGGACATGAATCAGCAGCATGAAGAAGTGCTAGCGAGAGCGATACTAATTAGTCGTGGCCCCCTCAGACGTTGAAACCATGCCATGGTGGCCTTCCGTTCTCACTGGGTCAAGCAAAGCTCAAGTCACGCCTCAGTCTGTGTCCGGGCTACCTTGAGGGGAAGACAGGAGGGCAGTAAATTACCAGGTTTGAGAACGTCAGAATGCCGTTGTCCTGAGTCAAGAGGTTGGAACGAAACACACCCCCACTGAGGGATAGGAGGACCCCAGGGAGGGGCTGGTCATCTTCAGCTTTAATCTGGGGATGAGAAAGCGAGACCACAGTGATGTCAGTCACAAGAGACATTTTACGGGCCAGAAGGTCACTGGGTTTTTTATTTTTGGTGGTGTGCAGAACTGAAGTATACCGCAGCCTGCTCTTGCCTTTCACCGTCATTCGTGGGGTAGGGAATACTTATTATTCTTCCTCCTCACAAGGGACGAATGTTAGCCGACTGCTGTGAAAGGTTCCAGAACTCTTTCTTCACTCACACAGATTTCGTCAAGGTTATGAATGTGGATATATTGGCAAATTTACCGGAGGGGAAGGAGATGCAACAAAAATCGTATGCTGCACACGCTCTCCTCCTCAGCGACTGCTCCTAGCTTTCCTCTCCTACCAGCACACAGCTCTGCCTTGCTGTTTCTAAACCACTGCCAAACACACCCAAAGAGGGGTCAGCAATCCACAGCGGGCTGCCAATGCTGGCAGTGCAGAAGCAGAGACAACCAGAATGTCCCCAAACATACATTTCTGTGCTTATGTCTTCTTTCCTGAACAGTTCGTCCCTAGAAATTCTTAGATATGTGTACTTGAAATTCAGAAAGATACTACTGAATCATATTTCAAAGAGGCTGTACCACTTACAGCCATCTAAGTTCCCTATGCTAACACACAGGCCCCAAAATATGGACATGGACTGAGTTACTGCAAACTCACCCCAAACGGTGCTCCACTGGTACCCGCTGGGCATGTCCTCAGGGACTCTGGAGCCCACGTCTTCAGTGCTACTTAATCACTGCATTACTCCCAGGAACTGCCTACCTATGTCCTTTGCTCACTATTTTTTTCCAATGGGGCTATCTTTTTCTCAATGATTTTAGGAGTTCCTGGTAAACCAGGGATATTATTGATGGTACAAACAATTCTTCCCAGCCTGCACATCTTTTAGTCTGGTTTAAAATATATTCAGCAACATCAAATTTTAAATTTTCATGTGATATAAGACATCACTCTTTTCCTCTGGCTGGCAGTTTATAAATATTCACTTAAAGATTTCCAGACTCACTGTGTACAATGCGTGGCACGTTTCTGCCCTAGAAGGACCAGCCGACAAAAGACAGACATCAGACACCACCACAGAAACATTCTGCATCCTTCCATATGGAACAATTAAGGAGGACGGCTTCAAACGCTTTCTGGAACGTGCATGACCATGAGAAAGCCAACACTTTTCCACATATGCTGAGTGAAAGAAGCCAGACCAAAGACAAGTACATCGTGTACGATTCCATTGATGTAAACACCCTAGACAAGGCAAACTAACCAGCAGAGGCTGACAGCAGGTGACAGCAGCAGAGAAAGACTACCAGGGCCCAGAGGAACCTTCAGAAGTGATGGCTGTGCTCACTATTTTGACGGGGATGGTAGTTGTGGTGTAGTCACATGTAGGGGCTGTCAACTAGACAGCTACTGTGCAGTTATCATAGGCTCACTGCACCCCAGAGAAGCAGCCTTCTGAAAACACAGCGTTACCTCGAAGCTCACGCCAGCCAAGGCATAAGCCTTAAAGTCTCCGATAGTTCCCTCCACCGCAGTCAACACGTAGCCCTCCTTCTGCGAGGTCACAGTGTACTCCAGGTCACTGTGCAGGGGGCCGACGCTGAGTGACAGAAAGCAAAATGCTGTGTAGCTGTTCTGACCCCAATCCTGGGGAAAGCATCACCTTCCCCCACGAAGCATAGCTCCTCAGCTTCTTCAGGGGCTCCCAGTGGTCCGGGCATGGGTGCCTTACTTGAGGCCTTACCTGTAGGCACCTTTGTCATCAGTAAAGACCGTGATCAGAGGTGAACTTGCTCCCTTCTCACTGATGACGATCTCAACTCCTTCCAACTCTGGGTGGATCTGGCCTTCCAGGAACAAGCCTGCCTTTCCGTGGATCTCAATCAGCTTCCCTGGGCAGCTTTCTAGAAAGGGAAGAATAGTCACAACCACGGGCCTGAGCTGCAAAGGGAGGGAAAGAAGCCAGTGTGAAGTTGCCCCTGGAAGAGGACCAGAGGACCAGAGGACCCAGAACTGAGTCATTAGATATGAGGCACCAGCTCCAAAAGAGGTTGGTCCCCACATGCATCCGAGGCCCCTCTCCACTCCTGAAATGCCCTGCTCAGCAGCCAACAACCTAGCAGAAGAACCCAGAATGGGCTGGGTGTTCACCGCACCTCAGCCTTGGTTCTCACAAGGCCACACATAAGGGGTGAAGCCCTAGAGCAGCCCAACTTCCACCCCAACGGTGAAGACCGCTACCAGATGTCTTGCTTCCAACACACCAGACTCCCAAACAAGAATCTCACAAACACCTATGATCTACCAAACCTGTAAGACTGGACAAAGTGGCCTGGAGGTATAGCCCAGTGGTACAGCACTTGCCTCACATGTGTGAGGCCCTGGCTTCAATCCCCAGTACCACAAGAAAAGAAAGTCCTCAGCCATCAGTTGCAATCATTCCTAGAGACTCTCAACCACACCCTGCCAAAGAACAGAAAGCCTATAAACAGTTCAGACAACGAAAAGCTATTCTCAAATTTCAGCAACTCGTGGATTTGCTTTCATCTACATCCAAGGAAACCAAGTCCTTCCAGGAAAGATCACTGCAACTGCAGTAACCAAAGTCACCATGCATGCGTCCATCCCTTCCTCAAACAGTAGCATCTAAGTGCAAGAGGGTCTTGGGGCTTAGACACAGCCACACTGCAGCAACACACGAGCCGTCTTTTCATGCAGCAGAGGCAAGCGCAGGAGTGACACTTGCTCAGAGTGGACACGTACCTCCGCTGACCACAGCTTCCATGGAAGGGGGATAGAAGAGCAGCTCCTTAGACGAGGGCGTCACGGTGATCTTCTCTCCAGACCTACAAGGGTGGAACACCTCAGTCTGGCCGATCTATCCCCGCAGAACTTTATACCCTAACTGCAGCATCCCCAGAGGATGCTGCAAAGGAAAGCAAGACAGCACTTACCGGGCCCAGTAGGAAAAATCGTAAGAGAAGGGGCCTCGCAGCTCATCCACCATCTCCTGCCCGGGTGGCTTGGTCCTTCCTTCCCCACCCTCTTCTTTGCCACTCTTCTCCCGCTCCTGCCTTCGACTCTCGATCTCCGCCAGCTGCTGCTCCCTCCGCAGTTCCTGCACAGACTTCAGAGGGCCCAGCACCAAGGCTGGTTCGCTGTCGATGGATGACCTGGAAAAGCAGAGGCAGCCGTGGGACCCAGCTGCACGTCCTTCTAGTCGGTGGGAATTTGACATTGCTATGTGCAGTGACTTGAGTAAAAACTGCACACCTGCTAATGACATGCTCATGATGGTCTTCTGTTTTAAAAACACTTACAGTTTAACAAGAAATAAAAACAACTCCTCAGTGCCGTGGTAGAACTGGGCTAGGACAGAGTACCCCTGATTTTGCGATGAGCCAATCAGAACATTCCACACAGGCCAGGGCTCTCTGCCCACCACCCTACTGCTCTCATCCACCTATTCCGAGAATCCACTGGACGAGAGAACCAGGGACGCTCTGGCACTGAGGACACAGCACTCAAGGAAACTGACAACCTCCCTGACCCCGTGGAATTCACCTCCTAGTGTGAAGGGCAGATGCTAACCAGAAAAATAACAACAGAGGGCAATGATAAGCATGACGGAAAAAGTAACTCAGTATGGGAAGACGGAGGGTTGGGAAGGCTTGGACTTTGGATTTTACACTGGGCGGCATGGGAAGCCACTGGACCTTTAGGAGGAGAAGGATTTGGTCTCTACCATAAAGGAACAACACACTTTTATGAGGTAACTCTGGATGGGGAGGTCAGATGGAAACAAATCTGAAATCTGGAGAGCTACTGTGGGGAGCTGCACCACAGTGTGACAGTGTCGCGTTAGGGTATAAAGTCAGGGGTTTGCTAGGTACGGGGTGCAAGTGACACAGGACCAAGTAACAATGGAGCTGCCACCTCGGAGGGAGGTAACACTACAGAGCAGGTCTGTGAAGGGTGACAACCAATAGTCTGGGTTAAGCCCTGCTAAGAACGGGATCCTCAGAAAGGCTCCAAGAGGCTGTGTCCAGCCACAAGTCGCAGTTTCTACCACCACCAGCTCGGGCACACGGCAAAAACACCCTCCTGAAGCTTCCAAAGTTAACTCCGTGAAGAGGTAAACAAGGCAACAGAGAGTCGGTACTGGGAATAACACAGCTTTCTAGCCAGCCCAGTAACTCATGCTTTCCAAGCAGGAGCCCAGCACTGGACACTGGTCCAGCAGCAGGCACCATGCCGGACCCACTAAAGACACTTAACAAGTCCTTCTGTCCCAAACCCGCCTCCCCATTGGTCCGGTCCCTTTGGTCAGAAACCACAAAGGACATTCTTGACTTTTCTCCCTCCTGACCCTGGCCACAGTGTCACATCCTTTCAACTCAGCCTCCTCAACGTCCCCCTGACCCGCACGCTGCTCTGTACTCCACTGTTGCTGGGTTTGCCAAGAGACTGGCTGCACAGACGGGGCTGGTGGAAGCCGTGACACTGCTCACTGGGCTCTCCATCTTCCCCAACCCCACTCCTGGGCCTCTTCTGTCTGTTCTCTCCTCAGCAGCCAGGGGAAACGTTTTGGAACAAAAAGTCACCCATGTGTTTAAAACATGGCCATGTGACAAAGACCCTCAACAAGGCCTGGACCCTACCAACCTACCCCTCCTGCATGCCCTCAGCCCAAGGTCCAATTCAAAGCAGTCAGCATAACTGAATTTCGGGTTCTGTGTCTGTCTCTTCAGGAGACAGTAAACTTCATGAGGGCAGGGCAGTGGCCTACTGGGCCCAGCACCTATGCCCCTAATCGCCCTGAAGGTTCCCAATAGTACTTCCTTCATTCATGACAGATGGACACAGCAGTGGTGACAGAAAGACGGAGAGATAGCTGCAAAGGCAGCTTAACTAAAGCAAGGAGGGAGCAAGTTACTCAGCGTTCCATTCTGTTCGACAAAGACAGTCACGCTGCCAAAACTCTGATTTCCCAAGAAAACCAGGGTGTCAGAAGAACCTCACCACACCCCAGAAAATGGGCTCAGAAGCAACATGCACATGAACATGACCCTCAGAGAGGAACTGCTTTCCAAACGCTTTCTCTCTCCCAACCTTTCTTATGTCCAGTGCCACCTCTGTTTTAAAGGCTTCCAAGGAAAGGTCCAGAGGAAGACAATTAAAAAAAAAAACATTGTTAAAACACTTGCAATACAATGAACAAACCCTGGAGATTTTCCCTTAGCAAAAAAGTATAAAGACTTCACAAAGCAATTTAAGACACAAAACCAAGCTGTCAGATGGCTCTTCCTCAGCCACAGTTAATTCTTGAATCATAAAAGAGATCCAGGCTGCTGTGAATTTATGGCTGCGTTGTATAGGCATAAGAGAGGGAAGGCCATTTGTACAAACACCTAGAGATAAGAAATCAGAAATCATTTTCCAGAAGTCTTCAGAGAACTCCTCAGGCCTGGTCTGCCACCTCCCACTCTTGGTCTACCAAGCGACACTTGTCTTACTTGATAGTCACAGTGACATCCATCATTTTGTCGGTGGTGAGCGTTCCAAGGACATGGTGGCGAATGGCTGTCAACGTCAAGATACTGGGTGAAGAGCTGTAAATCAAGAGAAGTGGGAAAATCCGCTAGCAGTGAAACCTATCATTCTCCAGCAGCCGCTAGGGGGACCTTCCCCACCCTGAGATACATGTGGGAAATGGCTCTGAGTTGGGGATGAAATAACTCTGGAACTCCATACAAGTCTCTCAAAAGGTCAACTAATTCTAGACCCCAAAACGTCACCTTTCCAGTTCCACACACATCTGTAAAAGTATAAATAAACACGGCCAGCTCGAGCTGAGATAGCCCCATCAGTGAGGGCTAAAGATCCAACAAGATTATATTTAAGGTACTTTACAAACACGGTCTTCCATCCTGAGTTTACAGAACTCTTCAGGAGGCAAATCTACCTCCATTTCTGCAGTAATTTATCTAAGTTCCTCAATCCCTTATTCAGAAATTCATGCTAATGCCTAATCTTGCCTCTTCCAGAAAAAAAAAAAAAGTTCCCCTGTCCTCAGAAGTAAATGAAGAGAGGATTACTCGCCCTGGTCCACCAAATGCCAGCAATGCCACAAAGTAGTCAATGCCCAGACTTACGTGTCATAGGTGTAGAAGGCCTGCTCAAACCGGTGGCAGGAGCGAGGGGTCACTTTGTACACACCTATGGACAGGACATCAGAAGTGATTTTTGGAGAACGCTGTCTACCACATTAATCAATTCCAACATTTAAAATCTAAAGGCAGCTCCTATTTGAAAACTCAAACATATCTCAGACTGGTGATAAAAGAAGCAGAAAAATCAGGCAGACAGCTCTTTTGCTGCCTGTGACAACATCTTACCAATGACCCATCCACTTCCTAGCCCACTAAAAGCATGAACTTTCCATTTCCTGTAATACACAACTCACAGTAGTTCCACCTGCAGAGCCACGCTAACACACACATACCCAAGGAGGAACAAAACACAGACTTTTCCTCCACAGACACGGGACAGTTAATGGGTGGGGACATGGCACCAGCAGCCTCCTGCACCTCACACGTGTGTGTGTGTTCACACCTGGGTGCAGAAGTGTGAGGCAGAGGGTCAAATTGAACACGTCACCAACAGCGAGGGGTGCTGGCGTTATTTTCTGGTGTGACCAGCATGTCGCTAAAGCAGGCCTTCTGATTTAATTTTTTTTAAAGCAAAACAAGTTTAGACTTTAATAAAAAATGTTAGGGTTTCCAAGAGAAATTTTACAGAATTGCCTGTTTCAAATGTCTTTTCTCATTCTGCTCTTGGAAGTTGGAGACAAGGCCGGAGTTGAAACACCTGTAAGTTTGCATACTGGTATCTTTTCTCCCAGTGCAGAATCTTCCTTTCTCAATATTCCTAAGGAGTTATTTGTTCTTTACAATAAACAAACCCCACCTCCATCCCTACATTTCCCCTACTCTTCCCTGCTTGTTTTTGTGCTGGCTGCAGCAGGCCAGCTGTGGTTTTTCTCTTGCCATGACAACTTCTAATTGTTGTGTACGGTGTGTTCAGAGTTAGATAACTCCTCATATAAACAAACTAACTGTCCAGAGCAGCTGTTATAAATCAACCCAATATTTATAATATGAGAGAGAGGGAGAGAGCGAATGAGAGACAGACAGACAGACACAGAGGGAGAGAACATTTTTCCCCCTCCGAATTAGACTGAGAATTTTTCTTCTTAAGATGCTGTTAGGGCCAGGGATGTGGCTCAGTGGGGCCATGCCTGCCTGGCAAGTGCAAGGTACTGAGTTCGATCCCTGGTACCAAAAAAAAAAAACAAAGATGCTGTTAAAGACCCAAAAGATAACCACACTGAATTCTTCCTGTAAATATTCCTAAAAAGGAGCAGGGAGCAGCAGAAGGTCCAGAAATCATGAAGCAGGTGGAGAAAACATTTATACACTGCCAGGCCACAGAGTGATACTCAGATCAGGGGCATGTTAGGCTGGGGATTTAGCTCAGTGGTTCTGTTGCCTGCCTTACAAGTGCAAGGTCCTAAGTTCAATTCCCTAGTACCAAAAAACAAAAAATCAGGGGCATGTTTCCTTGCTTGCTAGAGGAATACAGTCAATTTCAGAAAAAGCAAAGTACAATGTATTCCCCTAAATGAGGGGAGTATTTCCCCCAAAATGTGAGATTAGTTCAAACCACCCCTGCGGTTTTATTCACACTGAGCAGGCCACACTGCCGTTCCCACCAGTGAAGAGGACTAGCTTTTTCCTTCATTTTGTTATCTTGTTCAACAAATGTGGACAGTGCTCCTGTCCCAGCCCAGGACCACGCCAGGGTGGCACACGTGGGCAGTGAAACAGCTGTGATCCTGCCTTCATAGGATCTAACATCTGCAGAGACAGAGGTGTCCCATTGTCACTGACACATCAACCAAGCCAGGTGCACTAAGGGAACAGGGCCCAGCGCTGCGATCAGGAAGGTGACAAGGGAGGCTTAAGGGACACTAGAGGACCAACCCTGCCTGGGAGAGCAATGTGGAACCGTGAACTAACTGTGAGAAAGCCCAGCAGGTGTGGAGCAGCGTGGCACGGTGGGAGGGCAGGCACCTGTGCACACCCTGGCTGGTTGTTCTGTGACCAAGGAAATTGTTCTTCCTCCCTAGAAAACAGATGCTGATTACCTGTAAGCGGGGCAATGTCCAACCTTGGGCAATGACTCAACTGACTCAGATTCCTTTTGTAGCCAGGAGTGACCATGGGACACATGCTGGCACTGAGGCATACAGGAAGCTTCCTGGAAGAGGGGGCACAAGGATCACAAGATCGAGTTGAGGCTGGGTAACTTAGTAACTGAGTGAAACCCTATCTCAAAAGATAAAAAGGTCTGGGGATGTAGCTCAGTGGGAAGGCCCTTGGTTGGGTACTCAGTACCACCAAGAACAAGGAGAAGGAGGACAGACAGGCTGGAGTGGAGAGTGGTATTCAGGGCTAAGTCACATGAGAGCTCAAAGCCAAGGCAAGGATTTTGCATTTTAGAGAACCAAGAGGAGCCACCGACTTACGCTCCAGGAAAATGCAACGTAAAAGCAGAGTGAGGTGCCACTTCCCATCGACCAAGAGGACTATCGTCACAAAGCCAGCAATGACAAGTGTCAGCAAGGAAGTGGAAAAACAGAAACCCTCGTGAGCTGCTGGTGAGAATAACAAATGATACAGCGTCTTCAGAAGCCCAAGTGTAGCTTTTCAAAAATTACACATAAACTTATGGTATGATCCTACAATTCCATTCCTACATATTCAAATAGGAAAAACAAAAACATACAGACACAAAAATCTGCACAAGAATGTTCACAAAAACATTACTTATAATAGTCCAAAAAACAGAAACAAGCCAAACATCCACCCACTGGTGAATGCACACACAGAGAACGTCATATGACCCCATTCTGGACACTAACTGGCAACAACGAACAAGCTCCGTGTGCATGTCACACGTGGACAAACTGCAGCACATGCTAAATGCACAGTGCCAGACAGAACACCAGTACTGTATGATATTACTGAAATACCAGTCACTATTTACATGAAAGGTCCACAAAAGGCAGATCCACAGGGACAGGAAGTTAGTGGCTGCCCATGGCTGGGAACAGGGTCAGCTGTCAACAGGAACACAGGACCTTCCTGGAGGTGACAATAATGTCCTAAAACTGGACAGCAGTGATGGCTGTGCAACCTGGTCCATTTACGAAAAAGTACTGCACGCCTTACATGGAGGAATTTTTGTTTCTTTTTTTTGTGGCGCTAGAGAGTCAACCCAAGCAGGGCCTCACCTATGCTCCGTAAGTGCTCCACCTCTGAGCCACGTCCCTAGCCCCCAAATGGATGAATTTTATGGCCTGCAGACTCTATCTCAATAAAATTAAAAAGGAGAGCAAGAACATTGCAGAATTTTAAGATGAGAGATGATTCAATTTCAAAAAGATCATATGAACATTAATTTCAAAAAGTACAGATTTTATATATTACTAATAAATGAATTTTATACGCTGGGGATAAAAAAAAAAAAAACACAAAGAAAGATGACCCTGAAGCGAGATCCACTGGTCAGGAGTATACACTTCTGCAAGTGAAAGGGCCCCGTGGTCTCTGTCTGACTCAAAGGCTGGAAAGCAGGAACAGCCTCCAACACCGCCCTCTCCACAGGTCTGAGTGTGGGACACAGAACACAACCCACGCTGACAGCTTGACGCCAACAGGATGAAGACAGGAAAAATGCCTTCACGACCAGCCTCGGTGCCTCCCCGTTCTTCTGACTTGTGGCACAGAGATCCTTCCAGACTTACCAGGCTTGGACAGGCAAAAGCGGTTGACGCCTTTGGAGAGGTTGTAAATCCCCACGTTCTCAGGTCCATTTCCATCCTGATAAAACTCCTGAGGGGCCAGAGCCAACACAGGGAAGACGAGACACCATGGTGATTAATAATATTTCTGTTTCCGGACCAGTCATCTGTTTTGCCCATTAATCATCTGAGCTGTTGGATGCCATACGAAAATTAAAAACCTTCAAAAACTCCCAACACAAACATGTTTGTTTCATTCCATCAGCTAATATTTATTGAGCACCTGCTATGTGACAGACACAAGGCTGGGCCTTGGGAGACACTGGCACGGCTCCTGTTCTCGGTGGGCTTCCCTTTTATTTCAGGAAATCAGACAATCGATGTGTCAACAAATAAATTAGTGATTTCAGCTAGAAGAAGTAGCACCAAGAAGAACATAAACAGGGAAGAGGACAAAGAAAGAACACTGTGAAGGGTCACTGAGCATCTAGGTGCAGGGTCGCCTTCTCCTGAGCAGGCAGCAGTGGGGATGCAGCGCTAAGGATGGAACACAAACAGCCGGCATTTCTGGAAAGGACGCAGCGCTCCTGGCAGAGGGGCCAGAATGTGCAAAGGCCCAGAGGAGGGAGTGGTGTGGTGTAGACTGGAAAAGGCCATTGTGGCCAGGCCTTGAGAGCAAGCCGAGAGGGGCCAGGAGTGAAGTGGGAGCTAGGCCACTGTTAGGAATATGGATCTTAATCTATGGAAAGCAGAACTCCACTAAAGGGTTGAAGAAAAAGAAGCTCTACCACTTATTTTCAACTCAATATTAATTGGCCCATTTCCTGCACTAAGGCAGTTAGTTTGTCTGGTGTTTCTGGCAGCCAGAGCAGCAGACTGGCAATAGAAAGCAGGCGCAATTCTTCCCGTGTCTATCACAGGCCATCGTTTACTTACCATTTGCCTCAGGTTCTCTATTGGGCTCTGACAATGACATCTGCCACTGCTTGACATCCACAGTTACATAAAACTCCTACGTGAACTACACAGACACTTGCCTTTTCTGGGATCCATTCAGCAGACCATCAGGCCATACGGCCAGTGAGAGAACAGCTCTATTCTCTGCCCTAGAATCGGTATTCCGGAGAAACTCCCTCGGGTGCACCTCTTACTAAACAACAGGAGTAAGTGTGAAACACTAACAGGTTCACAGAAACCTCCCTGCTACTGCAAAGCCGGCTGTGTGCGCCCATGGTTAGAGGAGCAAACTGTGGCTCAGAACGGTCAGTGGACTCGCTGACGCACAAAAGCAGCGCGGCTTACACACCAACAGACTTCCAAATTGTCCGACTCAATGTGGGGCCAAGCCAAGGACATCCCTAAACACAGGCACCTGTCCACTAAGGAATCTTAAATCCTCCCTGAGTGTGCCTTCCCTAGCAGGTGGGTCAATCAAGGGGTAGACAAGGAGCTCCGATTTGGCCACGATTATAATCCTCACGGCAGTTCCTCTGCCACACTGAGCGTGTCTCTGCAAGAGCCACACGTACCAGAGTGATGGCGTGAGAGAGGGAGCACCGCAGCATGTAGCCCGTCTGCCGGAACTCCACGGCCAGCACGTCATCGTCCAGCACCTCCACCTCCAGACTCTTGTTCCTCCAGCACCAGTCCTCATGCATGATGCTGACTGCAGAGCCAAACACGGACACCAGCATTGGGCACAGAGCACACCGACGACACCCCACCGGGATGTCCTATTTCTTTGAATTCTTTTCGTGTCCCGTATTTTTAATGAGCATATGTGTGGCCGGGCGTGGTGGCGCACACGTCATCCCGGCACTTGGGAGGTGAGGCAGGAGGATCGACTCACCAGCCTGGGATACACGTGAGTTCAAGGTCAGCCTGAACTACATAGCGAGACCTTGTCTCAAAAGACCAAAGACAACAACAATAAAAAGCATATGTGCGCACATACGTATACAGATACACACATACTGCTATCTGGCAATGCTCCAAAGAGGTTACTGTGTACTACAAATTGGCCATTAACATCACCAACAAAGAAATCCAACTGGGCCAGAAAAATCGGGCTACAAATAAGATATTCAGAGGTCAGCAGGAGTCGTCTGTAAATACTTTTGGGTATTTTCTTTTTTTAAAATAGGGTCTCTACATTACCCAAGCTGGCCTTGAGCTCCTGCCTCAGCTTCCTGAGTATCTGAGCCACACCTCCTTATTTTCAGTTTGAGGTCATAGACTGTAGACCTTGACTATTCTATTCTGCTACTGAAGCTCATTAGCGGCTACAGTGAATACAGAAACAACAGGGGTGGCAATATTCTCAGGAAACTGTTTATAAAAACAGGCAATCAGTCCTTGTGCAGCAGTTTGTCCTTCCTGGATGCAGAAGTCCACTTTATAAGCTATTCACTGATAGCAGCTCTAAGCTGATCTTGTGGTTTGTTTTTTTTTCTTTTTTTTTGGTACTGGGGACTGAACTCGGGACCTTGTGCTTGAGAGGCAGGTGGCAGCGCCACTGAGGTAAATCCCCGGGCCCTGAGCTGAGCTTTGAAAAAGTGTAAGCCCAGGCAAGAGCGGCTTTGTGGGAAGGGTCGGAGAAAGGGAGCTCCCACTGGCAGGTAGGCCCTGCTGCTGACCGGGCCCTGTGCAAGGGGCTTCACAAGCTCTATTCCAATCAGGCTTCAGTTCTGCAGAAAGGCAGTGTTATTCCCAGATGAGAAAACTGAGACTCAGGGATCAGGTCACTTGCCAATGGCACACAGGAGCAAGGGTGGACACACGAATGGAATTATGTCACATTCCTTTCTGGTGTTTAGAAATGAGAAGGCTTATTTCAGAGCGCCTTCTCCAAAGGAGATGGAGGAGGACAAAAGGCTCAGAAACAGTACATGGACTGGCCGAAGCACAGGAGCACTGTGGTTTACACACCACTAGCATCTAAATCACCCATCAGTTCACGGGGCCACCAGGACTACACGACGCACGTTCATGGTCTCGGGCATGGAAGAGCCCCGCAGGGAAAGGCACGCGCCTTCCATCCAGACATAACCGGAGAGCTGAGCTGTGCAAAGCTTGTGGGCAGGAGTGCTGCGCTCAGTGCTTACTTTTGTACTTTCCCGGGAGCACGCTGTCAAACGTGAAAGTCATGGAATTGACCTTGCCGGAGAGCTGGAGGCTGCGCTTCTCGCCCTGGCGGCTCAGGGACTGCAGGGTCACCAGCAGGTCACCGCAGGTGTCTGTAGGGGAAGGACAGGAGGCCGCACGTGAATGGAGCCCCAAGCACAGCACAGGCTGCTCGGCTAAGGCTCGCCGTCCCCGGCCCCCCAGGCAGCGCTCGCCCGCGGGGCTCCTTCAGAGCTAAGGCGCACTGACCTGACTCCAGGCAGTGTTCTGTGCAACTGGCACATAATGGAAGCACAAGAGAAAAAGGGGGCCCACCGCACACCCCTGCTGGAGCCAGAGGAAAGCAACACCGACCGAGGACGTTCCGAGACAGGAGGAAGTAGGGTGACAATTACACAGCACCAACAGCAGGCGGAAGGAACAGAGGTGCTGAGACAGAAGAGACCCCACACAGACCCGGGCCCCACGACATGGCCCTCTGTGTGCCAGGCATTTCCCCGGGCTAACTCACTCACTCCATCCTCACAACTCTGTGAAGCAGCCACTGCCATTATCTCCGTATCACAGACGTGGGGTCCAAAAGCCCCGGGAGGTTAAGCACCTTCACCCAGTAGCACAGCTGGGGATGAAGTCCCAGGAATCGGGCTCCAGAGTCTGTGCTCTTGACCACTGCTACGCTGCCTCTTAACCAAGTCGTTAAAAACCTCCTCCCATTTCACAGAGGAAAAACTGAGGCTGACAGTCTCGGCACTGGTAAGACAAGAGCTAGGACTGAAACCGGAAGGAGGAGTGGGGAAAACTTATGGGCTCTTCTGAAAACCCAAGCCCAAATACTCAGGACAATGTCTGGGCGACCATTGTGGCAGTAACTCAGAAAGCACCTACTGGAACATGCCGGGCATAGCCTCAAAACCCCTGCAGGATGCCATTCGCCTTTAACACTACCCAAGGGGAAACGCTCGCCCCAGTCCCACCCTAACCACCCTTTTCTTTGAAACCATCTGTTCTTGCTTTCCACCCGACATCTTACCCAAACAAGAGACTTTCCCAGAAACGGACGCCAAGAACTGCACAAAGGCCACGTCCATCACAGGCCTGTCAGTCACAGTGAGGGGAAACGTCTGGGGCTTCAACAGCAGGCCGGCTCTGGTCTCAGCCTCGGGGACCACCACCTACAGAAACACAGGCAGCGACCTGATATCCACCTAGGCCCGAGGCTGGCAGACTGTAAAGAACAAAGGTTCCTTTCCGGGCCCAGCCGTATCATCAAAATAAATTCACAAGCAATCTGAGTAAGAAAACACACTTCCACTCAGAGGTGAAAAACAGCCTTCAACCATTCCCTGGGTATGACAGAAAGTGTATCTAGTTAACTCCACAAAGGCACACAGGGCTCACACGGTCCCCTGCCCTTTCCCTGGCTTCAGGTCTCTGACAGCGTGATCTATGAACTTGGAGACACCATGCAGATGACTTCTTGGTAGGATTCAGTCACTTTCTTCTTCTCTGCAACTTTCCCAGGCCAAGAAGGGCGGGCAGATAGTGGTCACCTACTACATCTGTAGTAAAGAAGACATTACAGAGCTGCCCTTCCCGGGAAAGTCCTTCACCACGCTTCCAACGGGGCTCCCAAAGGCTTGTCAATGGGGCACCTTCATGCAAAGCTGACTGATATCTAAGAAGGGCAGCTGTCAACCCATCATACACTGTTGTATGAGAGCAGGGCCGCTCTCCTGCCCTGTGCCCCCCGCAGGCAAGGATCCCACTCTGCCCCAGAAGGGAGCAGTCTTAGAGGAACCTTCTCGCCCTACCCGCTGCCCTGCTTTGCTCTTCCCCAGAGAGGAGCAGCAGCCGCTGACTGGATGAACGAGAGCCTGCAATCCACAGAGACATAGTATCGCACAGTGGGCAGCGCCACCGCATTGGACGGCTCAGTAGCTGACCTCCAGTTGTCCTGCCACCCGCTCACATGGTGCAAAAGTGCCCAGGCCTTCTCCCTGGCACTGGGGCAACAGGCAAGGGGCTCCCTGGCTTCCCTGCCTGCCTGGAGGGACAGCTCACATGGGGTCTGCCCAGGTGCCCTCCATCCAGGGCAAGGTAAGAAAGGGGAAGCTCTGTCTTGGCCTAGGGTCCTAGAAGCCATGCAGTGCGGAAGTTTTTGAGCCGCCATTAATAAGGAGCTCATTTTGATGACCTCTTAGACTCAGGCATACTCTGCAGCAGCAAGGAGCCCGAGAAGGTGGAAGTGTGATTGGCAGCCTCATCCGAGCCTTTGCAAACAGCATGACTAAGAAAGAAGCCTGTGGCATTATTTTTGAGCTGGATGTCTGTCTGTTCCACTTACTGTGAGGTACAGGAATGTGAAGAATGAAAAATAAGACACAGGGAATTGAAATACTTCTCCTCGGGCCCTACTTTGACTTCATAACCCTTTTGAAAATCACTGCTTTTCCTCAAATATTTTAAATAAAACAAAACTCATCGTACCTGAACTTTATAGGTCCCCGGTTTTGCTTTAAAGCAAAATGATCCATGAGCATCTGTCTCCACGGTGACCAAAGACTTGTCCTTGTCTTGAGACGAGAGGACCACTTTGTATTTACTCATCTGCTTGGCGGTGTCCGGAAAGCGGGTGATTGACACCTCACCACAGACGCTGAACCTGCAAGAAGACCATTCGCTCCAGCATGAGAACTCAATTACAGCCAGAGAGGCGCTTGGCAACCTCAGCACACATCCCTCTTCCAGCCTTTGTGTCTCTGACAGTAGTTCAATCTGACCGAAGAGACAGGACGCAGCCCAAGTGACTTCTGCTTTAACGAGCAACCTTCAGAAAGGAGTGGACCTCTTTCTACAGAACAGGGGCCAGTGGTGGAACTGTCTGTGTGTTCTGCGTGACACCCAATTTCCCCCACTGCAGAAGCAATTTTCAGAAAATCTGCAGATAATAAAAATGTTTCAGGTAATGAGACTATGGACAGGGGAAAAGGCTGGGACTGAGAATGTGAGCTGGGCCTTACAAACCAGAGTTGTAAGCTGCCTGCAAAACAGTGGCATTACCCAGCCCATAAAACAAGCAGGGTTCCCAAAAAACCTTGAGATTAGGTATAATGAGTGTATAAAAGCAAAGTAAGAGATGTGCACAGAAAGGGTAACGCAGAGCTAAAACTGAACTCCTTAGGAGCTAGGAGTCACAAAAGCAACTTATAATTGGAGAGCCCTATTAGTAATAGGTAATGACTCAGACTTGAGAACCCAGGTGAACACATGGAAGGGGCTGCAAAGCACCCCTGAGAAATGCAGGAAAGAAACATCTGCCTGCTAATAAAGACCAAAAAGACCATCATCCTCAGCGCATGGTTTTCCTTCTCGGGCAGCTGACGTGGAACAGTGTAATAATAACCACAGTTGGAGGCCACTTGTCTCTTTAACTCACTAAAGGTTTTATTTTCTAATCTTAAATAATCATTTCAGATAAAAATTGGTTGCTCCTTCTGACAGGAAGATAATAAAGAAATCAGAGTCTGACAATTACAGGACACACTAAGTGCTGGAACAACCACTCTGCCCCAAATGGAAAATAATGAAAAGATGAATAAAATAGTAGATAGCTGTGAAATGAAATTCAGTAAAAAGCAAAAGAACGGTCATCTTGTTCCAGCTCATTCTCCATGGCAGGGGTCAACAAACCACAGCCTGCAGGCCACACTGGGTCCCCCACATGCTGTATGGACCTCAAGACAAGAATGCGTTTATACTCTGAAGGAGTTAAAAGAGGGGGGAAAATCATGTCTGATTTCATGATATGTAAACATGACATGAAATGCACAGTTTAGGACCCACGGGAACCCAGCCACATCTCTTCATTTACAAATTGTTATAGTGGCTTTTGTCAGAGACTATATCGTCCATAAACCTCAATAGATTACCTGGCTCTTGACTTTAAAAAGTTCGCCAGCTGCAATACGGATAAAGGTCTGCACTCACATCCTTTGAGAATAAGAGGACAGGAACAGAACATCGGCGGAATCTTCCATAAAAAGTTCGCCAGCTGCAATACGGATGAAAGGTCTGCACTCACATCCTTTGAGAATAAGAGGACAGGAACAGAACATCGGCGGAATCTTCCTAAGGACACTGCACTGTCTTACTGTGTGTGCCTGTCAGGGGACACCTCTCCATATCTGCTCCCAGTCACAGCTCTGAGTCTTACTGAACTGTAAATATTTGATCCATCGGACCTACTTTTAGCTCATATTCTCAGAGAGAAGCATCCAGGTTCTCCAAACCTCAAATGTCTATTGATTTTTCATTTGGAAAAACAAACTAAGAAGCTGGTAGGAGAGAGTTCAATTATTCTGATATCCTTAAAAATTGATTTGTCTCAAAAAACCCTTTTAACGGGGTTTAATATATTTGGACAAAATCCAGTAACGTTGGTACATATTGAAATAACCATAATATCATAATTATTTGGACAGAAGTAAACATGTGCTTTTTAAGTAAATTGAGAAATAATTAAAAAAAAAAAAGAAAAACAGTAAGAAAAACCAACATATTAAAAAGGCATGTGGGCTGGGGATTTAGCTCAGTGGTTCCTTGCAAGCACAAGGATCGGAGTTCGATCCCCAGTACCAAAAAAATTAATAAATAAAATAAAATAAAAAGGCATATGTGCTATGTTGACCCCCCTCACCTCCTACTAAAACAAACCAACCAAAAATAGTAAGTGAACAGTGTCACTTTTCTTTCTTTAATCCAAATAGTTCACTTTAAAAATGAAAATAAAGAGATATATTCCCCCACCTTCTTCATGACAGCATCTGACCCAGAGAACCACCTGCTCCTCACCCCTCCCGACAGCACCCCGAACTCCTCCGACACATATCTGCCCCAGACAGCTGCTACAGCCTATCTGGGTCAGCACTTACATCCCAGCACCCCTCTGGTCCCTTCCTCATCCAACAGCCAAGAAAAAAAAGTTAAAAAAAAAAAATTAAATACCAAGATCCATATCACTGACAACTTAACAGCTCCTCCAGCACTGAGGAGGCAAAGCCACCTGCAGGCACGGCCACATCCACCTGGCTCCTGCCCTGGCCCCCTGCCTCCATCTCACGGCCTGCCCTGCCTAGAAACCCTTATTAACCCTGCTGAGCCCCAAGGTCGTCACAGCCCAGAGGCCGTGCACAGCTCCCAGCCGAGCAGAGCCCAGAGCACCCACCTCTTCCCTGCACCACTCTTATCATCATCCATGACCTTAGTGCATCTCTCCAGTAAGATGAAGCCCTGTCTTTCTAAAATTGGTTTGGTTCCTTGTCATCTTCCTAACACTTATCACAGTGCCTTGCCCACAGTAGCTACTCTAAGATGTTTATAAAAGGGAGGGCATTCTTAAATCCAAGAATTACTTCTGGAGGGTGACTGGCTTCCTCATCTCCCGCTGACCACTGAACCAGCCCCCTGACCCTGACTTCCACCCATCTATAGAAAACAGTCACCGAGCCCTCCTTGGTGACCAAGCCGATAGGCTGGGTTTTTGCAGGGCTCAGCTCCAACTTCCTAGTTGGATACTAAAACTTTCTACCTCTGATGACTACCCCCCCAGTCCTCCCTGGACCATCCCGTAAGTTGCTGGCACTCCACTTTGGTTTACTGCTCTAATTCTCCTGGCTTTTACCTATCCAAGGTTCTGGCTGCCACCTATGGCCCAATCTACAGGACTTACAATCCATCCAAGCACCAAGCGTCAGAGAGCTCCACCTAGTGGCCCTACAGATCCACATGGCCCAAACTGAACTGTGTCACGTAACTGGTTCCTCTTTCATCCACAGCCCAGCCATTCCACCTGTCGCTCTGGGAACCCCTAAATCTTTCCAATATGTCCTGGCCTTGTCACCAGTTTTCAGGCCCCTACACCCTGGTCAGTCCCCTTCAAAGCCACCCTGCCCCATGCCCCCAGAATTACCCTCTTGCTCTGGTTTGGAGATGGCCTGAGTGTGTCCTCCACAGCTTCATGTGTTCAAATCTAAGCCCAGTAAGAGGAATTAAGCAGGTGGAAAGCGAACCCCGCTATGGTAGCTAAGGTGGAGCCTTTGGTCGGTGGTTAGGATTTTGATCAGGTCACCAGGATACAGGCCCATGATGGAATCCTGGTGGCTTTATAAAGAAGGACAGGGCAGAAGAGACAGGCAGACACACGCATGAGCTCCCTCTCTCTGGCCAAAGGATGCCTTCGCTACACTATTTCAGCACTCTGACACCAAGAAAGCCATCACTATATTGCAGCCCCTCAACCTCACCTCACACCTCAGAACCTGGGGCAGAACCTGGGGCCAGTATGAAACTCTTCTTCGTTAACTCACTGTCTGGGCTATTGTGTTACTTGCAACAGAAAATGGAAAATCAGAAGTCAAATGCTCAAAACCTTTCCTTGCTCCATGGTCCCTGGAAGAGATGGTCTCTGTGTTCCTATGGGGCACAAAAGGGCCACAATCTGTCCCCTCAGCCTTTCTAGCCTGCACCTGCCCTGCACACGCCTATCCATACCTGATGCTTTGGGACAGCACTGCTTTGCTCAGGCCGCCCCTCTGCAGTAGGTCCTACCCTCTCCTTCTAAGCTAGGGACATGGAACCCCCGCCACTGTCAAAAAGAGACAGCAGCATCCCTGCTCAGCAGACTCCATGCAGCGGTGAGAAAGACCCAAGACCCGACTCCAGGTCAGGCTGCACAACGTTGCTTCAGGTGTAAAACGGCATGAACTCAGGCACAGGAGTCCCCATGTTTACAACTCGACACTGCGTGGCAGCAAGAACTATGCCGAGGACCAGAAGCATCTTCCAACACACTATGTGTGGCTGCTAACCAGATCGTCTTCCAAGGACCTCAAGGAATAGGCAAAGAAAGGTCTCAGACGCGAAGACCAGGTGAGAGATTTTTCTCTAACTTACCAAACCCATTTTAACTTCGAAGCAAGGGAAATTTCTTCTACGCAAGTACCTTTTTAAAGTCAGTAACTTAAGTCTGTAAGATTTCGGCACTAATCTTTCCAGGGAGGCCACCTGGATTCCTTGCTAGATGCTGAAGAGTGGATGCGGACCCTCAGCAGGAACACACAGTCAGACGTGGGTGCGGGGTGATATCCTACCCAGCATGCCCACAGAAACAAGGCGTACCCTGTGGCGATGATATCCGCCAGCTGTGGGGTGTTCGGTGCAATTTTGATGGTGACTGTTTCAAAGGACAGGTGCTCTTTCTGGGCATGGATGGTGTACGTCCCTGTTGTGATGTTCTCCAGGCGGAAGGAGCCGTCAGCTTTCGTTCTGACTATGAAGCAAACATGCGAACAAAAGATGAGCCAAAGCCCACTGCGACTGCGCACCCTAACGTGCACATAGGAACGCAAGAGAGCAAGACAACGTTCTCGTAATCATGGAGACACTGCTCCTCTCCACTGCTCCCTAGGACTCAGAAGCAGCCCTGTCCAGAGGCCGGGAGCCAAGGCGACCGCTCACCTTTGATCTGGTTGTTCAGTGTGACCACCGCCTCGGGGACACCTTCTCCTTCAGGCCCGTTCAGGACCCTCCCAGTGACAGAGAATCCCATGACGTGGAACACCGGCTAGGGGGTGATGGACAGAAGAAGGCGCTCAAGAACCTGGGCGTGCAACTGCTTGCTCTCACTGCCGCCTCCCTGGCCAGAGCCCCCTCACTTTCCCGGGGTCTGTCTTCCCTGCTCACTCCTGACAACATACTTGTCTGCGGAGCAGCTGAACGGGGAAGATCTGCAGGCTCACGGCCCTTGGTGGGCCCCGCCTTCCTCTCATCACCGAGCAACTGCTCGCTCTCACTGCCACCTCCCTGGCCAGAGCCCCCTCACTTTCCCGGGGTCTGTCTTCCCTGCTCACTCCTGACACATACTTGTCTGCGGAGAAGCTGAACGGGGAAGATCTGCAGGCTCACGGCCCTTGGTGGGCCCCGCCTTCCTCTCATCACCGAAGCATCACACTTAACGTCTGCTCACCCTCCGGCACCAGCCCGTCCTTGGTTCCTCCTCTTCAAGGTCCAACTGCCCACTTCCGACTGCCCGATCACAGGCCCCACCTGGACCCACCGGCCCACAGCCTGGGATTCACCTCACTGCAGCAGTGTCCTGCTCACCGTGAGCACCATGCCTTGGCTCTCTCCAGAGGCCCTGCACTCCAGCCACCCTGACCTTTGCTCCCTCAAGGGTCAGAGACCAGAGAATTAAGGCTGTGAGCACAGAGGAGAGAGGCCACACTCAGCGGCGACTGCACAGCAAGGAAAAGCAGAGAAAGCTGAGGTCAAGTTGTTTCCCAGACTGTGTAGTCATGGACATCGGAGAGCAGATGAACCGTGTGTCACCGGCACTGCTTGTGCCCTGTTTGAGTGAATAAAAGTGAGGTGAGCCAAAGGCCGGGGGCTCCTCTGCCTAACAGAGAGAGGCACAAGCCCCCTGGCTGCCCCTGGGTTAAGCTGACTCTGAGTCTCTCCGGCATTCATCCTCATTTGCTTCTGGGTCAGGGAGGAACAGAGTAGTGGGTGTAGGTGCCGGAGCAAGGCCAGCTGGAGAGGCGGCTACAGGTGGCGCCCACTGTGAGGCTGGGACCCGGGCTCGCCTACACTCAAGATCACTGCTTTATTTCATCCCCTGCATCAAAATTACGGCCATCAGAAAAGTCCTTGTTTGAGTTGTTGGCCTGTCGCCCTCTTCCTAGAATGTAAGCGGCACGAAGACGGGGCCTTTCCTGCCTTGGTTACCTGGTACACAGTAGACACTCAATAAATGCCACCCTAAAGGAAGGCATACATGCGTGCACGTGACAATATCTGAAAGGAAGCTTTAAGAAAACAAAATGGCTCTTTTTATTCAGGTGGCTCTTCTCAGTCCTCCCACGGTCCCATGGTTCATCTGCTTCCTTGTCCACTTGTTAATTCCCATGTGCTCAACACAAGTGTTCTCACCAGGTACTTCCACGTATCGGGGCTGAGTCACAGGTCAGGAGAGCAGTAAGGAACGAGACAACTCACTCGGTTCCGGGCCTCACTGAACCCTTGCGCCCTTGCCCCTTGAAACCCGTTCACCACTGGAAACGCGTGTGACGTGACCTGGGAGAGTCTTTCCCCTCCCACCGGCCCACCCTTCCCAGCCCTGAGGTGAGGTGGCTGCATCTTCTCCACTCCCAGCCCCTCCCGCATGCGGGGACATTAAGATGTTTTCCTGCATCGTAGAAAGCAGTCGGCTCCCCGCGGAGCATGTGCCCTAAAAGCAGCTCCTCCAAGTGCTATTTTAACACTACTTTTTCTCAATGTAGCATTAAAAGGAAACCGCGAAAACATAATTTTTTTCAATAACTCTAACACTGGGTGGTCTATTTAGGAAAGACTGAGATTTTCTTTTGGGATTTGCTCTATCTGGCGAATTTTCTACAGTAACTATTTTCTACTTCCGTAATTAAAGACAATGTGAGTGGGATGAAAATGACATTTGCGGTCTATTTTAGGGCCTCGGGAGCTTATCAGGCCACCTGTCACTGCATCCACTCCTGTCACCAGGGCCCCAGTTCTGCCCGCACTCAGCGGGCTCACTGCAATGGCTTCCTCGCATGTCCCCAGCTTCTACCTGGCCTCCTACAAACTCTTGTCACAACTATCTACAGCTCGGAATCTTCTGGGAGCAGCAATTCTCACCAGAGTAATAGGCTAAGTGGCCCAGCGCTGCCCATTCTGCCTCATCACCTCTGACCCTCTCTCCTCCTTCCCTCCACACTAGTTACCCCAGTCTTCTTGGGATGCCCCTCATATCCCAGGTGTACTCCAGCCTCAGGACCTTTGCACTTACCATTCCTTGTGCTAACACTTTTCCCACTGATGTAAGTGCAGTTCACCTGTTTTGCCCCTTCAGGCCCCTGCTCACTTGTCACCTTCACCATGAGGGCTTTCCAAGAACACCGTACATGAGCCGAAGCCCTCACTCCACCCTGAACTTCATGCCTCCTTTCTTGCTTTATTTTTCCAGAGAATACTTCTCACCTTCTAACCCACTGTCTAATTTATCTACACATACACTCTTTCCATCATTAGACCACGAGCTCCTCAAGGACAGGAATTTTGACTCTTTTGACCAGTGCCACATGCCCAGCCCTGGGACAAGACCTGAAATGCGCACGGGGGACCCCATACATTCAGTCTCACGGAGAGAAGCAGCTCTAACAAGGGCTCCAGCTCCCCAGACTGTAGGCGCTGTGTAACAGACATAAGGCACCTCATGAACCCCAAGCTAAGCTAGAATCCAGGGCAAGATTCCATGTTCCCCAAAGGCCCTTCTAGACAAAAGGTGTTTGCAGCACCTGTGCCCAAGGACGGGAGCTGCAGCACCTGACCCCTGAGCACGGTGAGGTCTCACCTCAATGCTCAGGCTGTCGTGCCCCACCGTGAAGTCAAGTCGGGAAGGCGCAACATCAAAGGTGATCCTCTCCCCTCGGTAGAATGGGATCTGCAAGGGACAGTATGTTAATCACCAGGGACCGACAGATAACATGGAAGCATTGACCTAGCAGCCCCCGAACGGCCAGGCCAAGAGAAACATTCACCACAGGCGCTTCAGACTTTCAGAGAAAGCTCTGCACTTCGTGCAGCTACTACTGAGGGGCCGGTGTCTCGCCTAAGTCTGCGCTGAGTGCCCTTATCCGAGAAGCATTTCATGCTATAGAAATCTGGTTCCTCATGGGACAGAAGACTTCACATTACAGAACTTTTCAGACGTTGGAATATTTGCATACACATAATGAGGTATCTTAGGGATGGGCCCCAAGCCTAAACATGCAATTCATTTGCTTCACGTATACCTTACAAAGGACATATAGGCTGAAGGTCATTTTATACCATATCATTAATAATTGTGTGCATGAAACAGAGCTTCACGGTATGGAATTTTCCACTAGTGACATCATGTCAATGCTGAAAAGGTTCTGGAGTTTGGAGCATTTTCAACTTGGGGTCAGGAATGCTTGACCTTTAACTGCTAAACAGAGTGTTCGTGGAAGGACAGGGCAAGCACTTGTTCTTCTAACACCCAAATGGCACCCACTCTTACCACACTGCAAGGGTCCCAAACAAAAATAAGAGAAATCCACTTCACTCACCACAGTGTAACCCCCACTTGGTAAGGAGTAGAAGGAGAAAGAGCCATCTTCCTGGGAGATCGCATAGCACAAATACACCAAGCTCTCATCTTGGGGCTGGAACCCAGGCACTGGTGAGACGTTGCAGCCCAGGACATCCTGAGCCAGGGAAAGAAAGAGAAAAAGACTTCCTTTCCACTTACATGTTCTGACTGCCACCAAACAGCCTCACTACCAGACAGGACAGCTTTTGTAAGTTTTAGGTCAATTTGTGTATTTCTGAAATAGAGGGCATATTCACACAGCCAAAAGGAACAAAAGTCTTTACATTGAAGTTAAAAAGATAAAAATTGGCATGGTTCCTTGGATGGTTCTTTGGATAAGACCACCCTTCCCAATAATGGATCACGGTGCTGTGCGTGGTGGCGCACGCCTGTAATCCCAACATTTGGGAAGCTGAGGCAGGAGGACTGCTGCAAGTCTGAGGCCAGCCTGGGCAGCATAGTGAGTTCAAGACCAGGCTGAACTACATAGCAAGATCCTGTCTCAAAAAACCAAATAAATAAATAAATCACCACTGTCCAGATAAGGAAATGGTGGCTCAGGAAGGCTAAGTGACCAGCGCAAAGTCCTGCAGTTGTTAAGAGGCAACTGTGTGATATCAAAGCCTATCCACTTCCCGCCAAACTCCAAGCCTCCTAGTTTAGACACCCAATTTCTTATGACTCAGTGGAGACACAATGTTCTGAAATATTAAGGCAATTGGTCAACCTTAAACTGACATTTTCAACAGATCTTAGCCTGAAATCCCCCATTCCACCCCTGCTCTTCCGCCCAAGACATACACCTGTCCTTTTGTTCTTTATCTCCCTACGTGCTTCCTGTACTTACCTCTTTGGTTACTAAAGAAGAAAAGAGAAGAAACTTCACCCCTTTCATGGGCTCTCCATCACTCCGAACAGAGCCAGACACATTATAGCCAGCAACTATGAGGGGACTGGCTGCATTAGCATTAGAGTTGGTTACACGCACAGTGGTGCTTGCCTACAAAGAAGAGAGGCTTTAACTTCCAAAAAGATAAAGTGTCTAACAACATGTTTCAACTAAAACATTAACTGGAGAGAGCAATACGTAAAATTGCATAGATGATCGGTATCCACAGAAAATTAGTTCCAGGACCTCCACAGAAACCAGATCTGAAGATCGTCCAGTCTCTCATATAAAATGCTATAGTATTTGCACGTAATCTATACACATCCTCCTGTGTAGTTTAAATCATCTCTAGTTACTTTTAACACCCAATACAATGTAACTGCTATGTAAACAGCTGTTAAAGGAATACTGTTTAAGGAATAATGGCAAGAAAAAAGGCCTCTCACTACAATTGCTTCCCAAATAGTTCCAATCCACAATTGGCTGAATCCAAGGTTAGTTGAATCCCCAGATGCAGAATTCATGGATACCAAGGGCCAACTGTACAATGGTATAATTACAACTACTTTTTAATGCCAAAGTGGAAGGGAAGGAAATGTGGTAAAACTTAAATACTGGTTTTGTCTAAATAGTGATATTTTAGTTCCTCTACACTTTTCCACCTTCCAAAATGCCTAACTTTGTCCTACTTCTTTGAATTCTTTTCGTGTCCCGTATTTTTAATGAGCATATTATGCTTTTTCCTATGTGCCAATTTTTAATGAGCATATTGTAATATTTTCCATGTTTAACGATATACACGCATACATTTTGTGTTAAAGTATAGTTTACATAGGAAAAGCATATTTTAAGCATAGAGTGCAGTGATTTTCTCAGGTTGAATCGACCACTCTGTGTAACCAACATGCGGCTAGAGAAAGAGCCACCTCCAGCCCGGAATCCCCTCTCACTCACTTCCAGATACTGACCCCCAACAGGTAATCGTTATCCTGACTTCTGTCACCATGCTTGGTCTTAAAAATCACAACTTTACATTAATAAACTCAAATTCTTTTTACACATGCAATTAGCATACAGTGTGAACCTAAAAATTTAGTCTGTGTACCATGTGTAAACTTGAGTTTTAAATAAAACATTTTCAAATGTTGCTCTAAGAGAGTAAAGCCCCAAAATTCAGCAGTCAGAAACACTACAATTTTACAATTCAGGGTAAAATTACACCATCAATTACAGATGCATAAAACCTATAAAGACTGAAATGTTGATTCTGTTGCATCTTCAGGATTTAAGAGACACGGCCCCAGAATTAATGCAAACGTTAACAGGTCAGAATGTCTTTAAATCTTATTTCAATTTTTTTCTTACAGCTGTCACAAAAGCTCATCTAGTATATTTCTTTCTTTTTAAATTTTCCATTATAAACTAAAGTAGAACATACAAAAAATACTCTAAAGAGCACTATATATCCTCTTACTACGTAAAGAAATTAGAAATATAATTCAAGACCCTGATATACCCCAAAACTGCCTTCTTCTCTCCTTTTGAAGCCATCAATATCACCATGCACGTGGTGTTCTCCATTCTTATGCACGTCTTTGTAATTTTTCCACTTAAAACTGTGTCTATACATATTCTTACACATAAGACTATATCCGCATTATCCTGAGTGGTTGTAATCCTACTTTCTTCAACTCTGCTTTGAAATGTAGTTATAGTGACATGCATAGCTCTGGATCTCTTTCCGGCTGACACACAGGATTCCATTGTGTGATGGCTCCAAAAAACCACCATCCATCCTTTTTCTAATGGGCATCTAGGCTCTTTACAACATTTTGCTATTACAAACAAAATTGCAATAACCATTCTTAATACCTTCTGCTTGGGCACAGAGACAAAAGATTCTAGAACATTTAGGTGTATTTATAGATTTTTGTTTCTCACTGAAAAAGAAAACAAATACACTTCATCAGGAGCTATTGCTGTTGATTTAGCTCAAAATAGCCATAGTTAATAATAGAGCTACTTCACGGCAGGAAGGTGACACTGCCACCTAAACTGAAACCAATACCAGAAGCATCTGCTACAGCAACAGAGTTTCACCTCACAAACCAGCCATGAGCAGCACCATTGTTTCTTTACTGACATCTGGAAAAACCATAAACTCCTTTCACATTCTAAGTTGAAATACCCTGCATCTGTTCCCAAGCTAGCACGTCGTTGGCAGGGCCACGCTTGGAGCTGAAACACTCACCTCTTTCAATGCCCAGGTCGGATGAGTTGCGAGGATTTCATAATCTCCAGGAAGAACTTTAAAAAATGCAAACCTAAGAAATACAAAAACATCACTTAACGTTCTCAAAACAACCTGAGTATTTCTAATGTTACGACTAGCGTCAGCATGTTACAACTAACGTCAGCAGCATAACAATATAACACCTGAATCATCACAAACTTCCCACAGCCAGCTAAATGAGCATGAAGGAAACTCAGATGACTAGCGTCAGCAGCATAAGAATATAACACCTGAATCATCACAAACTTCCCACAGCCAGCTAAATGAGCATGAAGGAAACTCAGCTCTTCACTGGACAAAGCCACAACGAAAGGCGCTGGCTGAATGCATACTGTGCCCAAGAAGAGTGTTCCGTGTGCTGGAAGGAAGGACACGGGCTCCCACTTTCCTTATCTCCAGGACTTCTGGCATTAAACCATCACTGCAGTTCATCGGGGTCAGTCATAGAACAGTCAGTCAGGTTGGACAAGTATAACTTGGCAAGGAAGCTGGGCAACATGGCGCACGCCTGTAATCCCAGCTCTCAGGAGGCTGAGGCAAGAGGCTCTCCATGAGTTTGAGCAGCCTGGGTTACATAGTGAGTCCAAGGCCAGCCTGACCTATAAAGTGAGATCCTGCAAAACCGAGGAGGCAAGGAGGAAGTGAGGGTAACGACCAGAGGGTATCCATATTGCATGGGGTGGACGCCAACACCAGATGACACCAAGGGTGTACACACAGTAAATAGAGACAAGCTCTGAATCCTACACAAATGAGGTTTGATCTGTTATCTGAAACAAGCATAAGCCATCTTAAGCTCTATGCAAAGCAGCTGAGATAAAACCAGTAGCTAATAAAGACAATTCTAGTAGCTGTAGGCAAACTAAGACCTCCAGGAGCTGAACCGAGACTGTAAAGGCCCCCGCAGGGACCCTGACACATCTAACCCGTGACACTGACAAGGCCTCTGACAACCAGAGCACTCATTCTACACTATAAATAGCTTCAATTTCTGATCATACAGTAGTACTGTCCCCTCCCAAGTGTGCCTATCATAACCAGATAGGCTCAGAAGTCACTTTGTTACAAGGAAACTGAAACTGCCCTTGGATTCTGAAGAAGACTTGGCCTCTGCTTAACTTCCAGTGCTGCAAGTTACCATCACTGTTTAGGCGGTGCAGATGGTCCAAGTCATTTTTCCTGATGAGATCGACAAACAACAGGCTGATCACCCCTAATATGAAAGTCTAAAGTCTTCCTAAATCCAAAGTGTTTTGTGCACCCACACAATGCCACAAGAGGACAATTCCATACCACAAAACTGTTTCATGTACTAAACTATTAATAATATTATGTAAGTTTACCTCTGGCCCATATGCACAAGATATACAGGAAACAAAAATGAGTCTCAGGTCTAGACATGGGTCCTAGCCCCAAGATATCTCCTTATTATATGCCAATACTCCAAAATCTGAAAGAAAATCCCATAATCCAAGACAGTTCTGTTCCCAAGTATTCTTGGTAAGGAACACTTAACCTATACTCGCCTAGGAAAAAGAATCTCAGCTTCATTTTCTCCTAGGGAACAGGGCTAAAGAGGCACCAATCACACAGAAATAAATATCTTTTCAAAATGAATTTAAACAATAATTTTTAAATTGGATGACTTCCTAACAAACTCATTATAAATTTCTATTTAGATGGTTCTGCGTAATGAAGTAGTTAGTAACAATTTGAACACTTTCAAAATTATCCGTTTGAACTATTCTGATACTAAGCTTGGCACATCTGGCAACTATTAAACTCAACTACATAGATCCACTAAATAAGTGCTGCAAATTCCATTCGGCAAGGTTAATTAAGTAATCGTTTTGATATGCAGTGATAAATGATGCCTGTAAATCATAACTCAGCTAACCTATATTGAGCGAACATCATGCAGACTCCACACCAGGTGGTTTGAAACAGTAATTTGATCTTCCCAAGAATGTGAGGAGGGCAGATTCCACAATTACCACTGACAAATGAGGAAACTTGAGGCACAGAGGAATGAAGTAACTTGTCTCAGGCCAAAGAGTTAGCAAATGGAAGGGCTGGGATTCAAATCCAGGCTCAGGCACCGGCCCCAGCTGCTAAATGAAGGCCTACTAAGTGCCAGGCCCTCTAGGGCTATTGACTGATACTTCATTCACCCCAGGAGGCTGCATGGGTCAAATGACTTCCACATCACAGTCAGGAGTAGGGGCTCTGAGGGGTGTGAACTTGCTGGAAGTTAAGAGGTCAAATAAGGATCTGAACCAGGGCCCCTAAATCCAAAGCTCCCTCCAGCCCCGTCAGAGCCCAGCTCCAGCTACGACGCTGGGTGCCAGAATGTCACTCACTTTCCACCAGGTTGTGAGACGGTGGACTGAATCCTCGCCTCCGTCCCCGTGTTTCTCAGAGACACCTGAACTCCTGCAGGACCCAGGGGCTGCCCTTTGCTCAGCACCTGTGTGGAGAAGGAGGTTAGGACCCACCAGGCAGCAGAGGTCTCTCCTTGCAAGGCGCCTAGAGCTTTCTTCAGTCAAGGACCCCTCTGAGAAGGTGTCATAAACCATGGGTGCCCTTTCTGAGGGTGGGATGACAGAAAATCACACCTGACTTCATGGAATCTAAAATACCATCAGTCAAAGATACACCATTACAAAGATCACCATCTCTAATAAGAAGCCCGGCACATGAAGTAGGCACTGAGGGCCTCGTCCTTAACACAAAAAAAGAGAAACATGTCCACCACAAGGACCATGGCAGCAAGGGAATCTGCAGATCTCAAGCCTGGAGGTCAAACAGGGTGGGAACCAAAGTTCTCCTCTCAGAGTCTGAAGGCAGAGTGGGCGCTTGTGCAAGTTAGCAGCCCCCCAGAGAGCATAGCTTTGACACTGAGACTACTCCCGGGGCAGGGCCGGGAGCAGAGGCACATCCTCTCTGCAGGAAGAGAGGTGCACCCTCTCATCAGTTCACCCACAGCCAACATGAAGGCCATGGTCCTGCAGAGTGCGCACCTCCTACTTTGCATCAGTACAAAAGGCCACTCCTGGCATTGACATTCTGAGGGTGGGAGAGGTCAGCAAAAAACACCCCTAAAAACACCACTGTTCTACGCAATGGAGTGAAGAAGTCAGAGAGCCCCCTCGAAGCCCATCTGGGGGCTCCTTGCAGGACCAAAACCCTCCAGTTCAAACACCATGTTTTCCCAAAGGTGGTGAGAAGACTTAGTACCCGTTACAGAGCAAAGTGAAAAACAACAAGTTCCAAAGCCAAACCTTTCCATTCACAGAGAACCCGGTGAACACAAAGTTGATGTCCCCACCCTTCGTGCAGATGTCATTGACGCCATCCACATACAGCTCCACGTTGGTTGGCTCTGAGGAATAAGGCGGAAAAGGGAGAGGGAACGGCAAGACAGAAATCAGCTTCAGTTCCGGGACACAGGGAAGCTAAGCAATACACATTTCATGGCTAAGCTCTTCTATTCATTAATTTCTGAACACTTTCTACACTCACGTGATTCAATGAAGGGAAAAGTGTTCCTCTCATCCTTTTTCCAGTCACCTGGCTTCTTGCCCCACTGGAACAAATGTTTACCAAATAAGAGTTTAAAAACAGTCTTTCGGCTAACTTATATCTTGGAGTCCCATGGAAAATTCAGTAAGCACCAAGTAAGTTCGATTTGCCGAACGTTTACCATCGGCTGGGCTCCATGCTGAGGGCATTCAACCCTCACCACTATCTCAGGAGATTATGTATACAGGTCAGAAAGTTTAAAGGGTTCTCCCGAAGCCACACAGTTTGTGAGTGCCACAGCCCCAGCAGGACTCCCCAACTTGGCTCCAGGCCTGTCCCAAGCCAAATATAAAAGGTGAGCTACATTAAAGCAGGCCCATAAACCCAAATGCCGTTAAGAACCCAGTGGGAAAGAAGCGAGGGAGGCCAAGGAGGAACAGCGGCAAACTAACAGGGGCAGCCCCTTCTCAACTGTGCCACCTGCTGCCTGGTGGGCCCGTGCTGCCCAAGCTTCCAACCTCTCAGGAACACTGGAATACAGATGGTGCATGCAATCTTCTGATTTTTCGATATTAGCGATTAATTTACTTGTTCTAGAAAACCGAAGGGTTCATCATGACAGGGTTTTGATGGATTAACAGTTAAGATCGAGTTGTTTGTTTGTTTGTTTTTTTATACCAGGGACTGAACTCGGGACTTTACACTTGTGAGGCAAACAGCAGCACTATTGAGCTAAACACCCGGCCCAAAATCTAGTTTTTAAAGGTTAAAAAGAATATAAAATAATAAGTAGAGGAAAAAAAAACATGAGAATTTCAGGTAAAAGGAAGAACTGCAAACCCATGCACAAGAATATATACACAGGGATGGGGATGTAGCTCAGTGGCACAGCACCTGCCTGGCAAGCGCAAGGTCCTGAGTTTGATTCCCAGGACCAAAAAAAAGAATGCACAAAGGGGAAGATTCAAACGGGGAGGTGGGGGGCTGAACAAGCATCCTAGAAAGGAGGCTATCCAAATGGTAGATTAACAGAAACACCTGAAAAAGTTGTCCAGTCTCACCGGTCAGCAGACGAGTGCAATGGAAACCACAATACAACACTACCACGTCCACTACTAAAATGAGAAAGTCTGACCGCACAGGGCTGGCCAGGATGCGGAGCAACCAGAATTCTTGTACACTGATGGCAAAGCATAAACTGCCCTGCTTCAAAATATTCACTAAACTGAGCATGTATAAATTCTATCACCCCGCAATTTCACTCTTAGCATGTACTTAACAAAAACACAAATGCCCGTGCACCAAAAGGTATGTGCAGAACGCTCAGCAGTGTGACCCCCCTTAGCAGCTACAGGTGGGAAGCAAGCCAAGAGTCCACCCACAGTAGAACGGATGCACACTGTTGTACATTCACCCAGCAGAGTTCCAACAGCACAGAGAACGAAGCAGAGTGCACATCACACGCACAATCTTGTGACCACCACCAAGAGAAAGACACCACACAAAAAAGTATCCTGTGGGATTTCATTTATACAAACTTCACAACAAACCAAACACATGGGTGATTTTAGAAGGCCAGGGCAGGGGTCACCTGTAGGGCAATTAATGAGTGGTGGCACGGGGCGCCGCTGGGATGATGGAGAAGTTCTATCCCACCATTTAGGTGTCATTCCTGGAGTATTTTGAAAATTCACCAAGGGAGGGAGGGAGGGGAAAATTGAATTCAGTAACCTTTTCTATTCGCTATACTTTTCTGTAAGTATGTTATAATTCAACAAAAAAGTTAATCAAAAGAAAAAGCACCAGCAGGAGCAAAGAGGTTGCCTGAAAAACTCAGACAGGCCACCAATGGGTGACCCCAGCCTTCGTCTGTACTCGGGTTGGGCTCCCCTTCACCATTCTGGAACGTACCTGACAGGTACCTCTGACAATAAACTAAGGAAGAGCTACTGTTCTAACCAAATGAGTGCTCAGTGAGGAAGGTTCACTTCGCCTCTATGATGGCGGGAATCAAACACGAAGAAGCCTCACTTCTTCCCCAGGTGTAGACAGCGGACACACCTACTGCACCCAAAGGACAAGTCTCTCTCCTTCCAAACAACCAGCCAGCCATATATAAATGGAACCCTCTCCTCTGATCTCAGATCTGTTCCCAAGTCTCTGATTCTGCTGCAAGGGAGTTCTGGCAGAACCTGGATGCTTCTGTGTGTATGTGCAGAGGGCGGTTTCTGGTTCCAGTGCTTACAAACTTGCGCCAGCCGTTCTGAACATCTAACACCGGCCCACTATTCCCCTCAAGAACCCCCAGAAGCAGAGATGCTAACAACTGTGACTCCACGGTGAGCAGACAGAAGTGGAGGGGAAACAACTTGCCCAAAGTCCACACTGAGCAAGGGAGGCCCAAGGACACCGGATCTTCTTAAGAGTCACAAATCTGGGTTTTAAAAATCAAATCTCACAATGTTTAAACATTCAGTCAGTTTAAAAAACAAAAAATAAAACTGAGGTGCTAAAAGAGAGCCAGCCTCAGAGAGAAACAAAGTCCCCAATCTGTGGCTATGCTGCTCAGCTGCCACGTCACGAGCGACACTGCGAAGGCAGTCTTCTAAAAGGGACACAGTATGGGAGAGACACCTATTTTAAGAAGGATGACAGGCAGCTTTAAGGTAGATCTAAGATAAATCCAAACTAAAGTGACAAGGGGGAAAAAAACCCACATGCCAGAAATGGATTCTTAATATTAATAGTCTCTGTGCTTGGGCAAACTAAATTCATATCTAGCACACAATGTGATCCTGACGAGCTATGTCTGCTTGCCCAGCTCACTTACCAAAACTCCACCCTAGGGGAGGCTCAATCTTTAGAATAAAATCTCCCTAAAAGGAAAAGAAAAGAAGTTAGATTTAAAGGAATGAGAACCGATGACTAATTGAACACAGTGTAGTGCTATCATTTAAACTAAAATCATTCTGCCTAAGATGAAATTCTAAGTGTACGCAGTATAAATGGTAACATTTCCTAGATGCCCTTCAGATGCTGTGAGCTGAAGCCACCACCCAAAGATTCCTCAAGCAGTAGGCAGATGCCTGCAGAGGTCAATGTGTGACACTACAGCTCCTGACACTCATCTTTTGATACCAAATGCATACGATTAACCGAGTCCTCTGTTGACTTCTCACGTGCCTAACATTTTAAGAGTCAGTACACATCCTTAGGAACCAAAGTCATTCCTTAAAATGGATTTAACTCAACAAGGCCAACCCTAGTTTCTTGAGATGGACATGAACAGTTTAAAGAAAAGTAAATTGGGTCCATCTCTAGAAATCTAGATTTCATGACCCAACTAGTCCACCTTTATACATATTGTGCATACAGATCTAAGTTCAAGAATATTCACTGCTGTGTTGTTAATCATAATTTAAAAATTGAGAAAAGTCTATCCGTCCATTAATTGAAAAGTGGCTAAATTACAGACATGGGTTGACTCTGACATTCAGTGCAGTCCTAAAGATGCAGTGACATAGATCTATACACATTGATGATAAACGTATGCAGAGGGAAAAAACAAACTTCCCTATAGTAATGTTATCATTACCATGGGAGAAAATCAAACCGAAGAATGATTCCTATCATTAGATTCCATTTATATTTCTTAAAAATCCAAGTCAAAACTAGCTATATTATTTGGCAGGAGTCTGTATTTCCAAATACAAAGTTGAAATTTAAGGATGAAATTGTGTGAGTAGAAGTGTGCAAGGCCCCGCCTCTCTGTGCGGTTACATATTACGTACATGCGTACATATTTATGGGTATCTGCCTCCAAGTAGATTATTTTGGATGCACACCAAAACTCTTATCAGAGGTTATCACCGTAGAGGGAGGTGGCAGGGGCAAAGGGTACAAATTTATTTCATGCAACTCGAAGACCTTGAGGGTTTTTTTTTCACACAACCCATAAATTCACACACTGCTTGTATAAATAACTCTTTAAACAATATTTTAGGCTGCTGGCAGAAAGAGAGTTCTATTAAGTCAGTTTCTCAACCCTGGCACTACCGGCATTTGAGCTGTCCTACGTAGCATGGCAGGTTGTTAAGCTCATTCCTGGCCTCTACTTTGTAGTACCTCTCCAAGCTGTGATAACCGCAATGGCTCCAGACACTGCCACGTGTCCCTGGAGATGAGGAGAGCCAGGGTGCTCAATCAAGACAGTCCATAAGCTGTCTCCCTCAGAGCCTGGCTAGCACTGCCACAGTCCACAAATCATTTTCAAAACCAATGAGCATTTGCTCATGTGGGAAAGGCCACTTTCCCGGCTGGGGAAAAGACACACTAATTACTTCCCATCATAAAAGACCCGCGGTGAAGACTGAAGTTCCCCTCCTCTTACCTTATCATACAAGGGGATCATAAAGTAGCCATTGTTAGGGGCACAGTCTGTCTGGTATTTCAAAGTCCCGTGCTTGGTATACAACTTTATCTGAAAAGGAAAACAGAAGTCATAGTATCACCTTTGATAATTAACTATGTACATTATGCCTGAATACATTCACTCTATATGCATTTTCTGGGTTCCTACTGTAAACAAGTTATTAACACTGAGCATCAGATCAGGGACAAAAGAAAATAAGACAAAGTCACTAAAAAAAATGTGATTCAATGTTCTAAAGGGCTGGGGCATAGCTCAGTGGGACAGTGCTCGCCTAGCATGCACAAGGGCCTGGGTTCGACTCTAGCATGGAAATAAAAGAAAAAAATCTCAAGCCTAAGGCAAGTCTTGCTTTTCAATACTTTTGTTTATTTTGGCGACTATCTCTATGTTGTTCATATAAGTTTCTGAGTCTAAAACAAATTTTCAAACTTTGCTGTTAGCAAAGTGCTTAATAAAAAGCATACAGCATTCCTAGGGCTCACCTCATTTTCTCAGCTAGAAGGTCTAGGATAAAAGGCAGAGATCTGCATTTCTAGCCCCAGATTGACCTAGAAATTTAATTTTCTCTTTTCTGTCCTCCTCAGAACAAAAAAGACACATAAGATACTAATCTGTTAATACACATCCTCTCCTTAAGCACACTAAAATTCTTGTGTCCTGAACATCAGCAGACGAAACTGTTCCCCCAAGATGAGCGAGCTCTGCCAGGGTCTTCCACACTCCAAGTCCTTCCACCTTCAGAGGCGCAGGGGGGAAAAAGGGAGCCACTGTCTTTGACGGTGGTTGAACAGATTCCTATCAATGTGTATTAGGCACCTAGCACAGAGTACATGTTCACAAAAAAAGTTCTTATTACTGTTTAATACCTCTGAAGGAAAAAGGAATGCAATGCAATCAGCAAGGCATAGATCAGGCTCTAGGAAAATTCCCTGACCTCCCTACATGGTTCAACCAGTCAATGAGACTCAGTTTCCTCTCCTACAAAAGAACATTATTGGGTCTGCTGACTTCTAAGAGTCTGACCTCTAAAATGTGAGTGCTGGGACCAAGATGTGAAATGACACAGCCCGCTCTTCCCAGCTGAGATGATGCAGCAAGCAGCAAACTCCTGACTTACACAAATACGAAAGGAATCGAGTGAGGAAACAAGCAGACTGTAAGCTCTCCGTGGGCAACAACCACACCACTTACACTTGCACAGGGCTGAGCATCCTGTTGCTTTAGTGGTGTCTATTCAAGGGAGTACATGAAAAGCAGGGATTGGACTTCACCAGCCCACAGTGCTCAAGAGGCACTGTTAACAGACATCGCTGCCTCTACAGGGTTTCAGAGCACTGTGCAGCCCACAACGGGTCTTGCATCCCAAAGATCAGGTGGTTCCCCAGAGATATTGGGAATCCAGATTTTAAGGTGAGATCCAATTGTTAATGTATCAGCAACTGATATGATTGTTCCTTTTCACAGTACAGGCCAGTGTAAAGAACAGAACATCTCTGGGTGTAGCAAAACATGCACGTAATCTCATGACTCTGGAAAACTAAGGCAGAAGGGTCCTACGTTTGGGCCCAGCCTGGGCAACTTACCAACTCAGGGAGTACCTGTCTTAAAAGTGCTCAGGATGTAACTCAGTGGGAAGGCCCTGGGTTCAATTCCCAGTACCATAAAATAATGGCAATTCCCTAATAGGATTTTTGGGCCGGGGACTTAGCTCAGTGGTTTCACCACCTGCCCTGCAAGCACAAGGACCCGAGTTTGATCCCTGGAACCAATAAATAAATAAATAATAGGATTTTTGTCTGATCTGTTCACTATCTTGCTATATCTCCACTTGGGACAAGGCGTCAGTATATACAGGAACTCAATAAATAGCTGCTGAATGAATGAAGATGATGAAAACATCCAAAACGGAAAAAGGCCGGAGAGAGTGAAGGTAAATGTATCGGAACACAGAAAACATAATCAAAAAATGACTGAAAAATCCATTTCTTTTATAAAGTACAGATCAGGACACAGGATGTCATTATGTCAGCGTCATATTTATGAAATGTCTGATTTCATAATCAGAAATTACAAAAGAATGAGCGTCTCCAACCGTGTGGCAAGGCAGCCCAGGGTGCAGGCAGCGCAATTCACAATGGGTCACAAAACCTGCTCTCTGCTGTCAAGGTAAGTACTGGGGCTAGTTCTACCGCCTTTCCCTTTCTCCCAGGGCCCCAGGACACTATACACGGCAAAAAGCTCTTCAAGGCAGATGCTGAAATGCCGCATGCCTGCAAACCCAGGAGGTGACTTGGGCACCCAGCAACATGTCCCCAGCAGCTCCTAGAAGCCCTCCCTCAAGGGGAAAAAAAGGGGAGAGGAGCAGCAGACACCGATGTCCTGAAGATGGTGATTCCTTTTTAGAAAACCGTGGCGCTGGGTTCTGCTGTTTCTCTCCCATCCTTCAAGTATAAAACTCGGGAGCTGGAATGAGGCCAGGTCAAAAGGATCCTGGGGTGTGGAATCAACTTCCTACCCTCCTCCCCCAATGCTCAGGTTCAATGCTACTAAGGTTCAATCCTCCATCACCATCACTGGGGAAGCCCAAAGGTGCTTTCAGACAACCTCAGGTTCCCCTTCCCTTCCCTTCTGTTTGGCATTTCTCTTGCTCCTCCTTTCACAAAGGATCCCCCAGGTACATGCTCTCTGCCTCTTCCCTTTCCCACCCGTCCTACTGCCCCATCCGTCCCCTTGACAAAACGCTGCCCAGCCCTCCCTCAAACCCCTTCCCATCTACCTTGACAAGTGTCCTTCGGCCCTACTTTCATCCACCCCCCTTCCTCTTCTCAAAAGCTTTCTGGGTCATAATCTCATGACAGTCGTTTGATAAAGCTTTATAACTTACTTTCTAAAAATGTCTACATAAATCTCTAGTGTAATTCCAAAAACTACCTATTAAGGCAATCAGGGCAGCTGGCAACTCCACTTTCAGAGGAAAGCGGGTGTGTGTATTGTCAGGGACAGCTGGGTACAGATCCCAGGCCCCGAGTGAGCGATTCTGACCCACTGAATCAAGACCTACGGGCTGGGAATCTGCGTTCTTTAAAAGCACCTCCGCGGGTTTGAATTACTAATGGATTAGTTCACTGGGGCAGAGGCAGGGGGTCCTGGGCTGTGGAGCTTAATAAGTAACACCTGTTGTCTCCAGGTTCTGGAACTCGGCTTTGGCGAGATCTAAGTTTCGGGGGGCCTAGTTCTGCGAGGTCTGGGGGTCTAGGTCTCCACGAAAGGAGGGCCTAGGCTCCAGGGTTTGGGTCTGTATTCTGGGGATCTGTATTCGGGTTGTGAGAGTCGGGGGTCCGCAGCTGACCCCACTGCACTCGACCCCTCTGGCGCATCTGGGGAGGGTGGCGGAGCCCGCGCCGGGCACAGGGTGCGCAGAGGGAAGGGCTCCGAAGCAAGGCCACTGCGGCCCAGAGAGGCCGAGCGACCGGCGCAGAGTCACACCGCGAGGCGAGGCGAGGCGGGCAGGGCCGGGG